ACTATTTTTAGGTAAAAATGTCTAAAATTTAGAACACAACAATATTAGTACTATGTGTAGTAGTTCTATGTATAATACAGTTATCTAAATCATCAAACAGCTTTCTGACTTACATCATCTAAAACATTAAACAATATTTCAAAAAATTAAATTACTACAAAATACATAAGAAAAGACAAAACAATAGAATATTTTAATTTGCTGAAACCATCTAAATTTGAAATCAACATTAAAAGATGTATAATGCTGTAAATTACATTAGAAAACTAAAGTGTTTTGGAAAAAACTACAGAAGAGTTTTCAATCCTTTGTAAAACAACCACCTAATAATAATTTTCTGTTTAAAAAGATGCACTCAATATATCGTCATCTTCGTTGCCATCTTATTGTGGATATTAGCTAAGAGAGATAGTGGGTTTAAAACAATCAAGTTCAAATTCAAGAGGGTCGACTCCCTTGCATAGGATTTACCCCCATAGGATTCGACCTCCCCCCCTGCAGAATGGCAAGCTGCAGACAAATAGAGCATCATACAAAGCAGGCTTACGGTCAAAATGGACGATCAGCACCGCCACTTTTTTTCTTTTTTTTCAGTCATGGCAAATTTTTTGCTTCTGACAGAAAGTGGATGTTGCATTTTCCTTCATTTGCAGACTGAGAGGATATAGTTTTGTCACCCAACTACTGAGCTGAGTGCATGGCATGACACTGTGAGCTGCAGATATCATTTGGAATGTTTTTCAACTGTAACCAACATGGTGTTGTGAACTGTAGATTCAGAAAATGGTGCGGGGCCTGTTGCCAGTGTCTTATGTGATTAAAACTGACTACCTGTGCAACTGCTGATCTATTCGTAACTGCTGCTTCCGTCAATGGCGAACTGCATTTCTAATGTCGGTCCGCTTGTGTTAGCACTTCTGACGACTGCCTTATGCCTGTAATGCGTGTGTATGCTAGTGGATATGCTGAGTCTGAAGTCTGTGTTAATTTTTCCACAAGGAACAGTGATAGACATTCTGTGTGTATTTTTCATTGGCACAGAGGCGGAACAACTAAAGGGTGATCCATTTGCTATGAAGCTGAAACTAAGATTACCAGAAGGCCTTAGATAGCTGAGGGTATCATCAAGTCTATAACGGCTATGCTTTCATTATTTTCACTTTCTAACACAAAGCAGAGCTATTCGACCAAGTTTACTCACAGCAATCGGAACATTCCCTTAAGCACTCTGTCCCCATCTTCAGCAGCCAGTGCAGAGTTTCAAGTCTGAAGGCATGACTAACAGTTTGTGTATCCATCTCGCTTTTCCCTTAAGTGTTGAGCATTGGCCAGACCCCCTGGTCACTCTTCGCTGGTTAAACCGGCCAGAGAAAAAGTTCCCTGCTGGCATAGCTATGAGAGTCATTAGGGTACTCAAGGCATTCCACCACCCCAAGGCACCAGCACCATGGGATGGCTTCCTCAGACTGTGATAATCTATTTGTGCCTCCGCTGTTAAGTCGCTGTCAATAAACTCTTACAACATCTAGCTTGTACATCATCGATAGAACCAGTCCAGAACACAGAATCAAAATATGGAGAGACATGGGCACTTATACCATCTCAGCCGGTTCTGCACCGCTTGGTGGTGAACTGATGCGTGACCAGCTAGATTTTTAAGGGTGGTTTATGAGCAAATGAACAGCTCAGAGGCACATCTCTGTCTAAAGAGACTGGTGTTGCCAGAAGTGACAATGGGATCTGGCCAATGCCCAACACTCAAGGGAAAGGCAAGACATACATACAATCACACAGTTACTGGTACCATCAGAACTGGAACTCTGCGCTCGATGCTAAAGATGGGGACAGAGTGATTATGGAAATGGCCAGAGTGCTGTGATGACAATTTTTAATTCAACATTCAACCTTCTTTAAGGCACTAAGAAATCTAAAATAGATGTCAGTTTTTAAAGATGTATAACATATACATAAACATTCAAAGCTGTATGATACTATGTACATACTTAATATTTTTAAAAATAAAATTAGAAATTTACAGTGCAAGATATTAAATCATGCTATCTAAAAATGTCTTTAAAAAATTATAAAGTCTGTAATACTTTGAGCAATCAAAAAAAAAAAATTACTTTGATCTATATAAGACATACATACATTAAAAATATAGAAATATCACTACAGTGTGGGATCACAACAGGTTGTCGTCGACGCAAAGGTTTTGTGGCAGAAGTATGTGCCTGGCTTGTGCCCCTTGCTTTTGCTGTGCTGGGTTTCTGGCATGGCAACCCTGCAGCTGTTTCAATCTGAGGAAGCTACCGTACTTCACCAAGTATATTCTCCAAACATACAGGGTCTAAAAAACAATTAGAATCTTATACATTGACAAAAGATTTCTACTGAATAATCTGTAAGAAAATATCTTGTACAGGGCCTCATTTGGGAATGCCGGTTCAGGGGCAACATAATTGGATAAATAAATGATAACATTTAAAAAGCTACCTCCTGTTATAATAGTTTTCTGGTTTCCATGATAAATAAGACATGAGTAATAATAACTTTATTTAATCAGATTTTTGTCCTCTTCACATTTCTGGTAGCAGCAAAATCAAGCTGTGTTTTATAGATGAGACTGTCTTATGCTGGGGAAAATACGGTATGTGGAGGTGTTGTCTGGTGACACCAAGGAGACTTTCCCGTGCCTTTAGGAGTAGTGGGTAGATGGTGCCAGACGTAAATTTCATAGACCTATCAGCACTTAATGGGTGATGTAGTTATAATTATGCAAACCACCTTTACTTCCTTATAAAACTTCCTATTCTTGGACAAGGAGTTTAAGCAGTTCTAGCTTGTTTAACAGCAGGTCTGGCGGGCATAAGTTCAAAACGACTTCAACTTGGAATATTAAACAGACTTAGGATCTCAAGTCAACCCAGTCTTACAAGGTAAACTGGAAATGTTCTGGAAAGTAAAGGCAGCCAGCATAATATTGACCACATCAACCATTTATTGTGATTCTTCTTACGCCATAAGAAGATACTGGATTTAAAAAGACAAACCCCCCCAAAAAAGTGGGAAAAAAAAGTTCTGAAAGTTAAAAAAAAAAAAATGGGATCAACAGGGTAAGCTGCATGCAATATGAAATGTACAGGGAGGCTATATGGTAAAGTTAAGTAAAAGTAAAGATCCCTTTCACGCCTTTAGGCGTATCGGGCATATGGGAAGAGCGCCCATATTTTTACAGACCATCAGCACTCGGTGGGTAATGTGGTCAGCATTACACCGGCTGTCTTTACTTTCCCAGGACAGCCCATCCTGGTACCCATTTTAGACTGGGTCGACCTGTGACGTCCCATACCACGATAAAAATCCACGCAGCCACGCAGTGGGTTTCGATCGCGGTACGTTGGATTACGAGTCGGACTCGCAACGCCTTAGCCACGGACGCCGCAGACTATATGGGCTTAGGGCTGTATCCAAGCCTATTTGGTTGGTAATCATCTCGGTGCCCAGCCTTCTGTCTCGTGTACTGTCAATAATTTCTGATACAGATATTCTTCCACGCCACGACATTAAAATGTCCAGAATCTTGTCTCAGTGTGATTCTTCTTCTTGTTCTTCTGCCCTTTACCTCCCCCAAAGGAGCACAGGAGCTCAACCAAACAGTCAAATCGTTCAATCTTTTGCCATAGCATGCAGCTCACCAAATGTCCTTCCCCTATCTTTTAAACTTCTCCCTAGTTCCCATATATGTGTGTTTTGTTTTATTCCTTTGACCCTGTGGATTCCAGTGAAAAGACAATCAAGTTATACTGTTTTCAAGTATTTTCTATATGCGCCCTATCAAATGACACTGTCTCTTCCTCATCTCTTGATTTACAATAATGTATTCGGTTCTCTCCCAAAGCTCTACATAAGTAATCATATAACGCTTTTAAATTGCCTATTCTGTGCAGATACTTATGAACTTACCTTTGTATTTTATCAGCCTCAATGTGATGAGTTTAAATGAATGAGGGGCTACCACTATATACCAAATATACCTCAAGGCACGGGAAGAGGTCCTATACTTTTAGACTGGGTCAATCTGTGAGCTGAGGCCTCATGAGGGTTGCAGAATATGACCAGCAGGATCACCCCTATACTACCATGGCTTCCAAAACTAAAGCAAAACCAGGACAACATGAAACAATCAGTTTGGCATCTGCTACCTGTCACATGCTGTGACAGTCTGACATCAGTAATCTGTCACAACCTGTGACGGTCTGACATCAGTAATCTGTCACAACCTGTGACAGTCTGACATCAGTAATCTGTCACAACCTGTGGCAGTCTGACATCAGTAACCTGTCACAGTCTGACATCAGTAATCTGTCAAAACCTGTGAAAGTCGGACATCAGTAATCTGTCACAACCTGTGACAGTCTTACATCAGAATTCTGTCACAACCTGTGACAGTCTGACATCAGTAATCTGTCACAACCTGTGGCAGTCTGACATCAGTAACCTGTCACAAGCTGTGACAGTCTGACATCAGTAATCTGCCACAACCTGTGGCGGTCTGACATCAGTAATCTGTCACAACCTGTGCGCTCTGACATTAGTAATCTGTCACAACCTGTGACGGTCTGACATCAGTAATCTGTCACAACCTGTGACAGTTTGACATCAGTAATCTGTCACAACCTGTGGCAGTCTGCCATCAGTAATCTGTCACAACCTGTGACAGTCTGACATCAGTAATCTTCCACAACCTGTGGCAGTCTGCCATCAGTAATCTGTCACAACCTGTGACGGTCTGACATCAGTAATCTGCCACAACCTGTGGCGCTCTGACATCAGTAATCTGCCACAACCTGTAGCGCTCTGCCATCAGTAATCTGTCACAACCTGTGACAGTCTGACATCAGTAATCTTCCACAACCTGTGGCAACCCATCATAAATACTCAAAAATATCACCCATATATACTGGCATATGATCCTTAGTCAAAAAAAAAAAAAAGAATTATCTAAAATGCAACAGATTTCTTGATATCAATTTAGGATATCCTGTAAAATCTCGAGTAGCAACAGGTCTCTCTTTGACTCGAAACAGCCGGTCCCTGATGTCCTCATGCTTCACCGGATCATTTCTAGGGAAGTTCTCCATGCTGTAGGTTCCAGTGTAGGAGTTAAAGATAAAGCTTTTGTTCTGTCGGAGGTTCTCTTTTCCGTTCAGGTAGTCATGGAAGGTCACATGCTTCTTGGGAGAGTCCGGGTCTTTGGATCCGCTGGAGAGGCAAGATGATGGGTGGGTAAAGCTGTCCTCATCTGAAACAGTGATACAGTTTAGGAATTAAGCTTCTGGAGAAGATTATTCATCATAATCTTTTGAGCAATAAGAGAAACCTGAGAAAAGTATAACTAGAATGTACTTGCACTGGAGCCCACAGGAGCAGAGGAAAAAAGTCGACAACAACACCAAAATGCAAGGAAAAGAAAACTAAAGAGGAACATTAAAAAGACGGTAGGGACAAGGGGTAAGCTCCATGCAATATGACAGAAAAGGGTGACTTTGTTCATCAATGGCTTATGCTCCACTGTGGGCATAAAGGCAGAAGAAGAATCTGTAGGTTAATAAGTAAATGTGAGTCATGTATGAGTTGGATTATTTTCATGGCACTCCAGACACACCCACAGGTGCTCAGATTTGCCTCTTAACATGTACCTCAGCGCCCCGCAGCTACCCCGGAATGAAATTCCATTCTTAAGACAAAACAGAGCGTAATATTTAGATTGCAAACTGGTAAAAAAACAGACTGAACATTCAAAATAGGGGTTCTTTCCCCCCCCCCATGTGCTGCTGCAGACAACTCCTGGGTATGCAGTAAGGTGAACCCAAATCTGATGTTAGGATTCCGGTGGAAACCAAGCAGTATTCATAGAATCTTGGGGCTTTCTCATCCGAAAACTGCTGGCAGGTGAATGAAAATAAGAAGAGGGTTTTAATGATCTGAACAAATCAGCTGACACCATATCTTCCTCAGATCTCCCAGTGAACCAACATTTTCCCATTATCCTCACTGTCCTGCCTATTGTGCCATTATATGTCACAAGGCAAAGGCCATAACTCAGAAATATTAGATAACTGTGTTGGATGTTATGTCAGTATATAATTTTTCTTCGTAACATTTCTCTGTAGGTCTGGATGGTTTGGGCGGTGTTGTCTGCCTCTAGTCTGAAAATGCTTGTGTTTAAATCCTTTTGATGTTAATATGGTAGGAACAGTTTTTTTTTTATAAAAACTTTCTTGTATAAAACATCAGTTGCATATCCTTGTACAGGAGATTGCGAAACCAACTGCAGCATTTGTTGGTTTTACTAGGCAATTGTACATTTAATAGTTTGCCATTGCTTACTAAACGGTCAGCTCTCTATACTATTGAGGACATCAACGCTAGGCCATCTGTTGCCGAATCGCTTTCAGCTGGTTACCTCTAAATTATGAAACATGTTTACAGTGCCTAATTCATATTCACCAGTTTCTCATAAATGCATGGGAAATTGGCGGCCGTCTAATGATTTCTGGGAGAGACTTTATGACATGATGCTCTCTGAGTGATTTCTTGGCAGTGATTGAGATACTGGGGCCTTGTGAGAAGTTGAGAAGTCAAAGGTCCTGGAGTGAATGTCATCCTCCTCTTGAGAGTTCTGGGGCCCCATTGTGGGGAAAAAACAAGAATAGACCCACTGCCTCCCCAATAAGCATGTTTAAGCGTCAACTAATTGGGGGTTTCCTTTGAAGTCGGAGTGCATCTACCTGAGAGGAGAGAAACCAACACTCTGCATACAGATAAATCAGATTTGTAAAACAATGTGTACGCAACCCTTAGGTCTGAAACAAGTCTAAAGTCCAGAAGTGGATGAACAACAAGAACTTTCCACTGGTAAATGCAAAGAAGAATAATAATTTCATCCATGACATTGACATGTCAGCATAGGATACAACAGAATGGAGGTGCAAGTACTGTGTATTTTAACACTGCTGAGAAACCACTGACCCGGCTGCTTTGAGATACCAGCTAAGGGATTTTGTGTATCTGTGTAGTATTGTTTGATTTGTATATGCTGATGAAGGCTCCATAGCCGCAACGTTCACGTTCTATTTGTATTATTTATATTGTGAAGCTTACTAATATACTTTTTGTTCGGCTTTATATCTTTTCTGTGTATTTATAGACCAGATTACTTAATGGTTCATGTGGTCGTACCACTCCGGCCACCTTTCTTTGTCTTCTTCTGCCCTCCCCCCCCCCCCCAGTGGACCATAGGCCCTCAACCAACTCTCGCCAAGTCATCCCATAATTTGCTGCAGCCCATCCCATGCCCTCCCTATCTTTTTAACCTCTCTGGTTCCCTTCTCCATGTTTTTTCCTGGTCTGCCTTTATTTCTATAGTCACCTTCTTTGGCCTAGGGGTTGTGAACATGTTTTATAATGCTAGGGTGCTTTTTTTCAAGTCATACTTACTTTACAGCCTTAGTATATGCACAACTTTTTTTTTCTTCTTTTCTCCTGCTAAGATCATCTCATTTGCCAATGGAAAGTTGTTATCCCCACACTAGTTGTTTGGTGTCCATGCATGTTATCCCCACACTAGTTGTTTGGTGTCCATGCATGTTATCCCCACACTAGTTGTTTGGTGTCCATGCATGTTATCCCCACACTAGTTGTTTGGTGTCCATGCATGTTATCCCCACACTAGTTGTTTGGTGTCCATGCATGTTATCCCCACACTAGTTGTTTGGTGTCCATGCAAGAGTTAGAATGACTAATGCTTAGCTTATGGAGAGAGCTAAATACATTTCAGACAACTAAAAGCTATGGAAAAGACGCTGGCGTTGGATAGGACATACACTAATAAAACATGTCTTAACTATCTCCATGTGGGTTTTGCTGTGTCACTGGAGGAGTGGTTGGGGGGGGGGGGGTGTTAAAAACAATACACCCACTGACCCCTAACAAGCATGTCATAAAAGGCAACTAATTATCAGTATTTTTAATTATCAGTATTTTCAGTCAAGTGGCAGTGCATCTGCCTCAGAGACAAGGAACCAGAAATTGGTCTGTATCCAGAGCTTGAGTTTTGTGTGCTCATCCGCTTTACAGATCTGGCTAATTTGTGTGCTGACTGTTGGTTCCTCATTCCTCAGGCCAGTTCCCTCTAGCTTTGAAAGAAAACACCTCTAATTAGTCGCTTCCTAAAGGGGGCAGCATGTCTACTCCTTGCTTTTCAAAATGGAACCCGCTGCAATCCACAAGGGGAAGTAGAGGATTTATTGTTTATTTGGTTAGCTCTCTTACCAACACGGCCTATAATTGCCACAAGACATTCTCTGGGAAGTGAAGATTGATTGATATAACTAGAATGTCTTTACACTGGAACAACCCGAGGCATTTAAATATACAATAGAGTTAGTTACAAATCCTTTACAGGATGTTGCAGAACAACCCCCAGCATTTATTGGCTGTTGTGGTTTTTCTAGGCTAATTTTAGGTTCAGTAGTTTGACAGAATATATTGGACAAAGAAGAGGAGAAATACTGACGTCTTAAAAGATCTGAACATCAAGGAAGATTGGCTAATAAACAACATCGTTTCTCGAAAGCTGAAATATTTTGGTCATATCAAGCGCCACAACGGATTGGAAAAAATTATAGCAGAAGGCATGGTACCAGGGGCTAACCGACAAGAAGATGGGCACAGGATATAAGCGACTCCTTGAGTATGAAAGTACATGAGGCGGGAGAACTGGCGAGAGACCGAGTTTTTTTTTAGGCAGACTGTGATGAGAGTGACGTTCTGCAAAGGACCTGCTACACGATGATGATGAGTTTGACACTTTCCTCTGAATGGTCAGCTCTCGGTGCCATTGTCAAAACCTAAGACGATCTGCTGACAAATTATTTGCAGCTGGGATATAACCCAGCACCCCAGCATTATGAAACATGTTCACAGCACCTTAGCCACAGACTATGTAAATAAAGGCAGACCCGGGAAAAAACATGGAGAAGGGAACCAGAGACAGGTTAAAAGATCGGGAAGGCATGGAGTGAACTGCACATGATACAGCAAATGATAGGACGACTTGGCGAAAGTTGGTTGAGGGCCTATGCTCCATTGAGGGGGGGGGGGGGGGGGGGAAGAAGAAAAAGACAGGTGACTGGAGTGGTAGTAACCACAAGCACCATTAAATAGTTTGGTCTATAAATACACAGTGCTTGCATCATATTCCCAACATACCCAAGGTATGAACTTTTACTTATCTTACTTTGTCTCTAGGGAAATTTCCCAGAATCCTGTGGAGGGAGTTTGGGAAGGAAAGCTGGCAATTGATTTCGCTAGTCATCTTATTCTATGCTGCACATTAACAGTATCAGGTGCCACGGCGGATTAGAAAATGTCATAACAGAAGAAGGCACGGGTCGCCCAGCAAGAAGATGGGCACATGAAAGAAATGACACCCTGGGTAGAAAAATGTATGAGGCAGGACAGCTGGCGAGAGACCGAGTTTCTTTCAGGCAGACCGTGATGACAGCAACATTCTCAAAAGGATCAGCCACCTGATGATGATGATACTGGGATCTATAAAACCATCTTAACTCCACAACCCTGGGGCTTTATCCGAGATCACTCCAGCCTTTGATCCCCAGTGAAGCACAGACCCACAACCAGCTGATTCATTCCTTTGTAGACCTGTTTATGAATGGTTGGATTTGGCAGCTGTTTTCTACTGGATATATCCAGTCTTTCTTAGCAGTATCTGAGTGTGACTACCTTGCCCCCCCCCACCCACCCCCCCCCCCCCCGAAAATAAGACCGGGTCATAATATTTTCTGACTGAAAAAGGCATTAAAGCAAAATAAAAAAGTTAATAATAAAACAAAATCTACGAACTTGGGGTAAATAAATGAAAATATCAGCCTATTTGTGAGTAAGTATAGGTGTGCGAAGCCACATGTAAAGAAATCACAACAACACACAGAAAGCAGCTTCTTAATATATTTCAAAGCATAACTAAAAGAGGAAATTAATAAATGACAGAAAGCGAAACATGAAAAGCGTATTTATTTCTATTACAGGCCAGAAACATTCACATGAGAAAAGTGAAGCAAGCAATGGCAAACTTATCACATTAACAAGCTGACAATAACACATGGTTTAATATATACATGCCAGCAAGTTTGTTTGTGAGCACAGAATGGCATAGCTAGATTTACTTGACGAGGTGTAAAAGGGCCATGGATCCATTTCATTGCACCAGGTTTGATT